AATACAGTAAAGTTACTTATCAGACATCAAAAAATAGCTCCAATATATGATAAAGTAGCAAGTATATAAACCTTATAATCAGAAATTGAGGAAAGTAACTTGGAAATTTTAAATGCAGTCAATGTTATCTGGATTTAAAGTTAAAACAAGTGTAAGGATGCATCACATTTAGGAAAGAATGACATAATCCACCAAAAAACCAGCAAGGGGGAAAAAGTATTTTTAAAATAATGTCCATTTTAAAAAGCACCATATGGTGACTGAAAGTCTTTCCCCATTTCTTTTTTCTTTTTTAACTTTATTAGGTACAGTGTGTTTTTCTCCAGGACCCATCAGCTACAAGTCCAGTCGACATTTTTTTTTCCATCTAGTTGGGGTGGTGGGGTCCCCCGCAGCCCACTATCCCATGCGGGAGTCGAACCCCGCAACCTTGTTGTTAAGAGAGCGTGCTCTAACTCACTGAGCCACCCCGGCTGCCCTTTCCCTGTTTCTTAAAGGAGAGGATAACTTGGCATTGAATGTGCTAGTCTCTGCCCTACTCATGAATAGGGGTTGCAAACGGAATTATCTTCTGATGCAACAATTGGAAAATGCAAATGCCTCAAACACATGATTATACAACACTCTCTTCTTTATAATTTAAACAATTCAACAAAAACCTTTCATTAATTTGGTCAGAGTGCTTCACTATTTAACCTTTCACACCCAATGAACTTAACACTCACCTGGGTATGAGTTCTCCACTCTCTCCACCAGTCTTTCGTCCTCTATATGTCTCTGTCATCTTTTTCTCTCCTTTCCTAGTTTCCTTTTGTGTTTTTCTCTTTGTAGGCGTCTTTTACCTCTCTATTCCTCCTCCTACGGTGTCTGCCCTCACTTTGTTGCAACCTGTTTCAATACCTGCTTTTCTTTCTCCCCCAACTTTCTTATCGGCTTGTAACTTCATATATTTGTTGCTCTTTCTCCTGAGTCTGTGTTTCCCCTCCGCTCTGCCTGGAAGGGAAGGACATGTATCTATCTCCTGAGGACACTGCCCGACTCAGTTCTCTGGAGTCAGGAGCCGGATAAAGGTTTGGAGCCGCAAAACACCCAGCAGGCGGTCGGTGTCCACGGGGACCGAAGGCAGAAAGTTTGGGGCCGGTTCCTGCCTCAGAACGATTATAACTGGAAACCGACACTGACTCCTGGGACCCGCACGGAAACAGGACTCAGAACGTCTTATGGCGACACCCAGAGAGGCGAAAGGGACGAACTTACAGCGAGAGAAACGAGCGGGTTTTTAACTTACGGGAAGACTCGCCACCACGAAACGGGTGTGAAAGAACGGGGCCTGAGTACCACACCTGGAAGAATTTAACTAGAAAACCGTGACTCACCTGACACCGTCCGTTTCTCCCCGCTACCGGCTTCCGGGTGGTAAGGAAACTGCGCAAGCGCGTGCGTGGCAGGGCGGGGAGGGGCCCCGAGGGTGTGCGTTACGGAGAGTGACGGGTGGAGACGTGTTGGGCGTATGGGCGGGGCCTGGGCCTCGCTCTGGGTCCGGCCCCTGGACGTTTGTTAGCTCCTTTGTTCGCCCGCCCGTCCGCCGAACAGTCTCTTGTCACTGCTTTTGGGTGCCTTTGAATTTATCAGGTGTCCTTTAGAGCCGGGATAGACGTGGAATTAGAGGTGCGTGGGCCACTTATATTGCGAGCGGAGATAGTTCCTCTTTACAAAGTGAAAACGCCTTACATGAAAACTTGGCGAGTGGATAAGTGTGCGAGGACGGAGGAGTGCTGGGACCAGGGGTAGGGAATTGGGTTGTTTTGGGAGGTTGTAGTGAGGGGGCGGTCTATGGATCTAGACAGTTAAACT